TTATCTCCTTTCTACACTCTTTCATCTTGTGTTTTTGTGAGAAATAATTCCTTCTTTGTATTGTACACAAATGACTAACCCTTTCTGTGATGTACTGGTTAATTTTGAATAATGCGAGGATGTATTTATTTTAATTGTTTAGGATACAATCCGTTGGTCTTACGAGAGGCGTCTTTTCTGGTTTGCGACCGCGCCCAGTCTTTTGCTTCCAGGCGTCCCGTGCTTCTCCTTGGCTCACCGCCCGTCTCTCTCTCTCTCCTCCTCTCCCCCCCCCCCCCCCTCTCTCTCTCTCGTGTCTCCGGTTGCATCCGCCGATGTTTGGGCTCAATAGGTCGTGTTTGCTATACGCGCCGAATACGCGCGTAATACACGGCACTTCTAGGTTATTCAAAAACAAATACTGGATCCGACATATATCGCATTTTAACCAATTCATGGTACTATATTTTTTCAGAAACAAATAAGCGAATGTCATGTTTCATGTCCCAATTCGATTTGAAACTCGCAAGCAGCCAACGCACAACGCACTAAACGTACATGCCTAATTTAAAAAAAAAAAAATACTGCGCAAACTCTAATTTATTATTCTTCTTATTGCAGGCCATTGGCCATGAAGGAGTATACTTCCTCATGCTTGGAACACGTCATCTCCCATACGATTGTGTTTCTATAAATGTAACGGCGGTGTTTCCTAAGATCGCTATTCATTATCGAGTTACAAAGTATATTGCATCAATCAGAGTAAAGTGAGTAGAAGAGCGTTCAATGCTGCTAAATATCTCCATTGTCTCCCAAAACCCTAACAATATCTAACATTTCAGTGAGACCTACAACGGAGTAGCTCTTATTCATAAAGACGTACGAGGCGTAGAAAGTACTATTGAATGGATTAAAAATGGTAAGTCGTAAATGGTTGAGTAATTTAAACTTGTTCAACTATCTTCAAGGGTAAACATTAGACAAGTGTGAAGGTCTAATAGTACATTTCGAATGATTGCAGATGTTTCATACAGTAAATAAGCTCCGTGAAATAAAGGGGTGCTCGTGTGTATTTTCTTCCTCCTTTCCTTGACATAGTGTAAATGCACAGCAGTGACCCTGGTTGCCCCCCCCCCCCCCCCCCCCCCCCTTTTAGCCGATTCCAGAAGAGAGGTGCATTGACGATTTGCGAACCAACCTGTTTCTTGAATAAGCAAGATGGGAAGCATACTCGCGCATTTTGAAAATGTTAAAATATGGTACTTCTTAAAGTTATAAGTGATTGTTTTTCTTTGAGTAAAATAGTTACCTCCCTGAAGAAATAAAGACCGTACATGTTTTCTCGGAGCGTAGCTGTCGCTCTCGAAGCTTCCGAAACGCTCCCTTTCGCTTTCCTTTTCTTTGTCGGATTAGGCTACCTCTACGTTGCTTTTAATAGATGTTTAAGATGTGTTAACGTACATTTCAACGTAAACAAAGTGAAATTGAGCGGAGAATTGGCTAAACAAAGAACAACGTTTTGTGGTACAGAACTTGCACTGAACCAGCTCTTTCTGGGTAAAAAGAAACATACTAAATGTATACTTACTTTGTACTTTCATGACGCGCTTCGCAAATTATAGTTAAAGTGTATTTTTAGCTTATTGATAGTATATAATACTGTAAAACTTTAGATGAATTGATGGGATGTAATGTAAGGCAAATTGATGTTCCACTTGTCGTGGTCATTTGCAACCATGCATGGAAATCATCTGTATGATCAAAGAGTTCTGCCCATAAATTTGTTTGGGGAGGATAGGCAATAGAAATGTCGTGAATTGTGCTAGCAAGGCGGAAGACGTCCTAAAGGAGATTTGCAACAAATGGTGTACCGCGATCCGCGATGATGCACCGGGGAGCGCCGTGTCTGAGGAGGGTACGGAGGGGCACACCCTCCCCACCGTACACTCCCCTCCTCCACGTTGAATTAACCTGAGACTGGGGTAGAGAAGAAACATCAAAACGTTGAAGGGACAGAAAATAGACAGGACGACGTCGTCCTGTCTATTTTCTGTCTCTTCTACGTTTTGATGTTTCTTCTGTACCTTAGTCTCAGGTTAATTCAACATGGTTAATATTCACCAGCTCGCCTGCACCCTTACGATTTTTTCTATGACTACCCTCCTCCTCCTCAAGAGCTGCGCTCTGATACGGCATTACAGAGAATTGTAAACGTCTTTAATTTTTTAGTTTGATTGCTTTGGGGTGGAAAGGAGGGTGTCAAATAAAGGGTAAACCAAGCGGCAGTGGGTAGTGAACGACCATGGCAAGATAAAGTATGCACTATAGGCCTTGGCGAGCGGCCATGAACAAGGTGTCCATCATTTTTGCTATCAATACAGGGTTTGTGAATTATCGGGAAGTGGCATAAAGCAGAGTTATGAACGCGAAGGTGGTCGTAGAAGAAATGGCGATCCTCGGATTTGCTGTTGCACCTGTTTCGACAAGCTGTGATGTCGCGGGCGTTAGTTTTATTTTAATTATTTATTTCCAATACTACTAACCCCATTCCGGGTTATTGTAGGGTGGTACAGTTTGAAATATTACAAGCAGAAAAAAAAATATTCAACACACAATTTGCAGGTCAATATTCAAAGCAAATATAGAAGTTGAGAATGAAAAATTAGTAAACAACTTCAATACAATAGATACATTGCACTTTTAAAAACATCATAAAATATTAGTTTATGATGAAAAGTGGGCATCTACGTAATCAAAGAAGATTTCAATAAAAGAGGAATGAACAACATTTTGAGTGTCATCAATGCGGCGTCGGCAATATTCGGGGATATGTTCAGGAGTATGGCAGTAAAAACATTCGAGTAGGTTGTCGCCAGTTCTCCAAATGTCACTACGGCGATGAGCTTGAGTAGTTTGCCTTTGTGATGCACCGTATGGGGTTGGGAAATTTTGGTGGGCTCACAGCGTTCTTGGGAGGAATGCATGTCAAGTTCTCTAATTCAGTACCGAGTTTGTCACGATAAGTGGACTGGATGTCTTGGAGCTCGCATATTGGCGTCTAAGGAAGGATCAGAGCTCCTCGACTATAATGTGGCAGATCAAGGTTGATAGGTTATAGCCTTTCAACTTGGATCTGCCATATCATGCTTGAAGAGCTCCCTCCACAGTACTCAAGCTCGCATCTGAATAACGAAAATTTAAGTAGCATGTCCAAAGCACAAATAATAATAAAAAAAACAATTTAGCCTTTCCACTTTGGTGAAGAAGGAAGACCAGCGAAGATGGTGGGAATGAAGCAATGGCCGGCCGCAAGTCGGCAAACCAGAGTGGAAAGGATCGATAGGTTGCGCGATCTATGAGCGACGGCGGCAAGCGGACAATTAGCAAACACAACAGTGAACAGCTACCGCCATCTATGAGCGACGGCGGCAACCAGAGTTTTGTGCCGACATTTCTTTGCGGGGGAAACTAGCCCTTAACAGCTCCGCCGTAAAAAAAAGAAAAAAAACTTTTGAACAACTCCCTGAAGTGTATCTTGGATCACTCACCGACATTATAGTGTCGGTGAACGATCCGAGATACATTTTAGGGAGTCGTTCACTCGCCACTGTAGTGTTGGCGAGTGATCCAAGATTTACTTCAGGAAGTTGTTCCGAAGGCTTCTTGAGAATTTGTGCTTCGAGAAGCTGCTCATATATTCGTTATTTGGATGCGAAGTTGGGCACGGTGGAGGGAAATTGGGGAGCTACAATGGAGATTAGCTCTTGCGAGAGTTCTTGGGAAAGACGTCAGATCTTGGCTTTCTCACTCATCCATGGGGTCAAGTCGGCGGTATACAGCCGAATACAGGGTGAAACAAGGAGACGCCAGGCTCTTTAAATCGACCGGAAAATTCGGTTTCTTAACCTATCGCGCTACGACTTTGTGCAGCGTTGCCCACAGATGGTGCTTTTTTTTTTTTTTTTTTTTGTAAAATTTGCGATGAGCGAACTTACCTGAGGAAAAAGTAAAGAAAGAAAAAGGCTTAGTCCTATGGAAACGCAGTGACGCCACCGGTCTGCAAACAACAAGGCGCCGTTTCGCACGGGAGACAAGAGATGGCGCAACAAACGCCGCCAACGCTCTGCGCCAACGAACGACCATACGGCGTCGAGAGCAGGCCTTTTTAGCAGATGATCTTTTCGACCAAAAGTGACGCGCGTTACGCAGGCGGCGAAAATCGCACAAATAAAAAAGACAGGCGCGATAACAGCAAGGAACTGCAGTTCCTTGTCTGCAAAAGGGCCGGCTCTCGGCGTCGTCTGCTCGTTCGTTGGCGGTGGTGGTGGTTAAACGTTTTTTATTGCTGAAAGGGTTATGTCAAGGCTTCTTGATAAATATCATCTAGCCTTGATGGGTTAGGGAATAGGGTGATGAGGGTAGGGGAATGGGAGGAAGTTAAATGATTTGAGGAAGGCCCGCCGAGCATACGTAGCCCAACAGAGAGGTTAATATTTGTTTCCTATTGACGTTGTCACTGGCCGGTCTTGTCCATTCTCGGTAGTTTGTGGGTCTGGCTTCCGCGGGCAGTTCGTGTATGGCAGCTTGTCTTTCCTTGCTGGTGGCCTGACAGTCCCATATAAGGTGCTGGCAGGTAGCAGGTACGCTGCAAGTTTTACAGAGCGGGTCTGGTCCGGGATCGTTCGGTGAAGTAGGCTTATAAAATCGAGCACGCCATACTGGGGTCAGGGCTGTGCATGTCTGGAGCCTTCGGATGCATACCCTCTCCCGTCTGGTAAAGCCTGGTGGGATGGGGCAGTCGTCCATGGGCAGCAGGGATGCCAGTCGTTGTTTCCTGGCTATCCCCTCCATCTCTTTCTGTTCCTCTGGGTCCGGTGCCACGGGTTTCTCTTTGACCGAAGAGGAGGCGAGTCCTTGTGAGGGTACGTCATCTTGTAGTCTAGCCCTCGCGGCCTCGTTCGCCTCTTCGTTTCCTGGAATTTCCATGTGTCCCGGAATCCATGACAGTTCGAGCCGCCTTCCTTTAAGACGTAGTGCTTTTGCTAAATTCTTGATTTTTCGTGTAATATTGTTCTTGCTGCCTATGTGAAGGCATTCCTTAACCGCTTCCTTCGAGTCGGTGAATATGTACAGGTGTTTGTTGGTGCTTTCTACATGAGCTTCAATTGCTAACTGGATGGCGAGCAGTTCTGCTGTTTTTGTGCTGGGTGTTATTGGTGCGAGCTTACTCTCTTTCTTGGAGGAGCTCTCTGCTAACCAGGCTACGGCCGTTCTCCCGTCATTGTCTCTAGCTGCGTCCGTATATAGGATTTCGACGTCTTCCTGTTCCCTAAGTCTTCCGAGGTCTTCGAAGTGTTTTTTTGCTGCAGCTGCGCGACGTTTCCTGTGTCCTTCACCTTGATTCATGGGTATAGGTTTGAGGGAGACGACAGGTTCGTCCTCCCACGGAGGCTGTGATGGTTGGTTGCTTGGAATGCACCACGTCCTTCTGCCTAGTTTTTCTAGTATGATGCGTCCGTGCCATGTCTTCTCCAGCCTGTTGTACTGACTGATCTTCATTTCTTGTGCGATCTCTTCGATGGTGTTGACCTGAGCTGCTTTGTGCAGTTCCTTGATGGGTGTTATTTTTGGCAGGCCTGTGATTACCCTCATTGCGGACCTGTTGAGAACCTCGAGTTTCTCTCTTTGAGTCGCAGTGAGCCTAAGATAGTTTATTCCGTACACTGCTCTGGAGACGAGCAGTGCTCGGACTAATCTTCGGAGCAAATCCTCCTGACATCCCCATGATTTGCTGGTAATCCGTTTGAGGAGGTTGAGTCCGTCCTTCCACTGAGCCTTAATTTGCTTCAGCCAGCTTGTAGCTCGACCGTCTTCGTCGAAAGTTAGGCCTAAAACCTTGATTCTGGGTTGTGGTTGTAT